GAATATAAAGCAACTATATATATAACTTTCTATCCGATTCTAATGAAATATGTTAATCTTGATTTCAATAACATTTAACACTTTTATTTTCTTTATTTATAATGACTTATTGATCATATGTTACAAATGATAAATTAGTAAAGTATCGCTAAAAAATATTTTCAGAAATTATTGGGTAATTGAATACTGCAAAGCTTAAAAACAAGTTTAATATGTTGCCAACAATATTCATTACGGTAGATTTAACTAGGCAATGCTTCAAGACTTAATATAAAACAGACGACATCATTTAATCTATGAAATTTTGTTTTTAGACCATACATTTACTTCAAAATATTTTCTGTAGTTCGTGGTTTACTGCATTTAACAATGATTGTGTTGGTCGACCTCGATATGCGATGTATAACGTCAATTTCATTAAACCTGTTCATCTCTTCAGACCACAGAAATTGCTTTTTATAACTTTGAAAAATCCGTCAAAATAATTCCTTCCCTTTTATGCATAACAATCCATCCTAAGGTACAAAAAGATAATTTATCAGGCCAGTACAAGCTTTTATTATACAAAAAAAAAAGAAAAAAAAAAAAAAAAAAACTATTGGCAATTTTCATTGTTATCGACATAAATATTAGTAACCGTAAAGAGCACTCAAGTTGTGTTAACCTATTCATCCTTAGGTACAAAAAGAACAGAATTTTAATGCCTTTGTATAATATTCTAACAAAATGGAAAATATAGGCACCTTTTGTTGATGCGACAACAAATTTTAAATTTCTTCCCTTTTATGCCTAACAAGGTAAACACACATACTCAATTATCAGGCAAGTACAAGACTATTAATAAAAAAGAAATATTGGCACATTTTATTGTTATAGACAAACAGACTTATAGAGCTCTCATTTTTTTAAAAATTATTCATCCTGAGGTACCAAAAGAATAATCAGGGAAAAGGTGGATAAATACAACAAACACGTCAATTTGAAACCTTAATTCCTTCACTTTTATGTCTGAAATAAAATTGAAAATGGAAACGGGGAATGTGTCAAAGAGACAACAACCCGACCAAAGAGCAGAAAAACGGCCTAAGGCCACAAATGGGTCTTCAACACAGCGAGAAAATCCCGCACCCGGAGGCGGTTTTCAGCTGGCCCCTAAAACAAATGTATACAGTCTAGTTCAGCTAAAATGGATGTCACACTAATCTCCGAAACATATAACATGAACCAAATTTTTTTAAAAATCCATCTTAAGGTATAAAACGTAGTCTATTATGAGGCCAGTACACGAATATTACAAAAAAGAAGAAATATTGGCACTTTGTATTGTTGTTGACAAATGTTTTAGTAACCGTAAACTTATGAAGCTCATATTCTTTGTGAAGATCCCGATTATCATTTAATATATTTCACATAAAAACAACTTATTATATTCATATGAAAAAACTGATATCAATATACAACATTATTTATAACACAAATACACTTGTTATGATAACAAAGTACGTCCCAAAATTTGTTTCCGTTCTCTAACTTTAGTTTGCCTTGACCAAATGTTATGAAGCGTATACACATTGCGTATTACCACTAAAATCAGACACGTTCAAATATGGGTGGCGTCACTTTCACTATTCTCGATTTATTGGTTTTAGTATTTCTTCTTTGATACGGATTTGTTTATATATGGTTTCCTTGAACCTGTGTTGTTTATCGTATAAAAGAGTGACGTAATGATTTATCATTGTAGTAAAATCCTTGATTTAACACATCCACATGTTCATACGCCATCAAGTCATGAAACTCGGCGGAGTTTGCTTTAATTTGTTATACTTGATGTGTCTTGATTGTTTTTGTATGAATTGGGGAATTATGTTATTGGCAGATAATTGATAGCCTCTGGGAAATAGTGACATGCTTAAAAAATCCATTGTTTACCATTTGACGTGATTAGACTATCCTTGTTTGGCGTAATATAAATTCTTGGTTATAAACTGTGTTTGTTTTGTTGGTAGGTTTCGTTTCTGGTAAATCCATTCCATCATATATAAATGGCAGTGTTTTACAATCCAACGAACTTAGTCCAATTTCAGATGACAAAGGTTCCATAACCGGTAGTTGTTGTATATCAATACAGGAGACTGGATACATGAACGTTCACATACTTTATTTTTCCATCGAACATATATACAGTCAGTTCATAAAACATATTTACAAAACAGTAATCATGGCAACATACATTAACCCGCCGCTACTCGCAGATCGAGAGCGGGGCGAACCGATGCGTCACATGGTTCTCTCTCTTTCTCTCTTTTTTTTTCAAAATAAAACTTTATAAAACATATGATCATAGAAACGTTTTGACCAATAAAAATGGAAAAAGGTACTTCTAAACAAATAGTTTCCAAACAATGAAATATATCAAAAGCAGATTAAATCAAGTGTTAATTGACATTATTCCATCTATATACAATTGGTATATTGACAAATAACTTAAATTGATGACCATTGTTGTCAAAAAGTATTCTGACGACACAAAATTAATCTTAATCCAGAAATATTTCCTAGTAACGCAAACACGATTAATAAATGTCTCTTATAAAAATTCTTTGCAAAATAGTTCAAAATCTTGTTTCCCGAACAAAATGCACTTTTTGCTCAATAAAAATATTGAAACTTATCTACTTATGCGGAATAATTACTTTTGATACCAAACACGACCAAATTCGGACCTCGAAGCTGTATATATTTTTACATGAACATTTACATTTGACATAAACATTTCTCAATTTTTATAATCTTGCGTTTTAATTTAAAAAAAAATAGATCATGCGGACGAACCTCAAATTCGTAAACTTAAGTGAGAACCATTTTACACGAAAATAAAAACAAAGTAATATACAAAAATAAAACATCGTCTATTTAATGCTAGGTTTTGGTCCGTTGAGGTTCGAAATTCATCTAAGGAAGGCCCCCTATAACCTCCTTAAAATTTCAACCCGGACAGAATACCGTTTGCACTTTCAATAGAACAATATCTTGGTCAAAGTTATCAGAATGCCTTCCTTAGCTTTGGATAACATGTCAATTGCCTTAATTAGCTTTGTGACAAATACCAACGATATCCAGTTTTTATGTTTTCGTAGATTACAAGGTGCGTGATCATGCGTTTTAAATCGCTCGTCTTCATGAATTAAAATAAAAAAAATATGTTGCTTACAAATTTATATTGATTTTGACTGAGATTTTAATTTTTTTGTAGTTGTACAGACTACGTTTAGCAATATAAACATCAAGAAAAATAAACAACAGACCGGCTATTAGACTTCAACTAGATACGAAATCGTTCAATCAAAAACAATAAAATATGCAAGTGTAAAATAAAATATAAATTAGAAAGCAAATGTAATATAAGTTCAAACTGAAGTTCAATACAAGTGTCAGTAATTTCAAATAGAATATCATTTCACAATTGAATTCCAACCGTCTTCTCTGCATACAATACATCACATCCATGGTAGAAATCCACCATACTGCGAATATAAGTGGTCACATCCACTTTAGAAATAAATTACAAGCGGTTAATCTTATGTTCTTCCTAGTCATGATCGAGAAATGTCATGTTGTTTCGATATTCGTCATAAGTCGCTGTTCGTTGATCGTGTTTATGGTCGCTTCGTCAAAAGGTATGTCCATATTGAATAAGTGATTCTGGAAACAAATTTCGAATAACTGGTATAAAGTTCTTCAATGGGGACTCTCATCTTGGCAGCGAAAGGTAAACACAGGATCGGCACTCGTCCTCCGCCATTTGACACGCCTAAAAAATCCATTGTTTATAATTTGACGTGATTAGAAAATCCTTGTTTGGCGTAATTTAAATTCTTGATTATAAACTGTGTTTGTTTTGTTGGTAGGTTTCGTTTCTGGTAAATCCATTCCATCATAGATGAATAGCAGTGTTTTACAATCCAACAAACTTAGTCCAATTTCAGATGACAAAGGTTCCATAACCGGTAGTTGTTGTATATCAATACAGGAGACTGGATACATGAATGTTCACATACTTTATTTTTCCATCGAACATATATATATAGTCAGTTCATAAAACATATTTACAAAACAGTAATCATGGCAACATACATTAACCCGCCGCTACTCGCAGATCGAGAGCGGGGCGAACTGATGCGTCACATGATTCTCTCTCTTTCTTACTTTTTTTTCAAAATTAACCTTTATAAAACATATGATCATAGAAACGTTTTGACAAATGAAAATGGAAAAAGGTTCTTATAAACAAATAGTTTTCAAACAATGAAATATATCAAAAGCAGATTAAATCAAGTATTAATTGACATTATTCAATCTATATACAGTTGGTGTGTTAACAAATAAATTAAATTGATGAACATTGATGTCAAAAAGTATTCTGACGACCCAATCTTAATCTTAATCCATAAATATTTCCTAGTAACGTTTAAACGATTAATAAATGTCTCTTATAAAAATTCTTTGCAAAATAGTTCAAAATCTTGTTTCACGAACAAAATGCACTTTTTGCTCAATAAAAATATTGAAACTTATCTACTTATGCGAAATAATTACTGTTGATACCAAACACGACATAAAAAGTAGCAAATGCTAAAACTTACAATTTCAAGCATTTTTACAACATGACAATAGACTCACATTTTGTTTACCTATACTGAACACTAGCTATGCTTAGTGTACAGATTGTAATTGTTCTTTTTAATCAATCGGTTGCAGTCATGTTGTCGTGTATTCCAACTCTCCTTTTATTTATATTTACATTTCAGACTTTTTACTCAACTATCAATTATTTGATCATGCCTACTCCTGTAGTCTAAAAACGTGAAAAATAAAACGAAGAGAATGTATTCATGAAGTATGTTGTCTTTGGTAATAATAGGGTCCACTATATATATAATATCAATATAGATATTTAAGGCTGACAAGTGAACATCATTCAACTTTTTCCCTTTCAGAAACAGTAATTGTTGGTACAACAAGTCAGCTTCTCTGTCAGTTTTTAAATGGAAGCAAATGGCAGAAATTTGACAGCCCGACTGGATTGTGGGAATATATATATGATGGTGAGAAGTACTCCGGTACTTCTTCTAGAGCCCTCACAATATCTAATTTTCAAATAGAAGATTCTGGAAGCTATAGGTGCTTGGCCGGCATGACCGGACCTGGAGGTAACACCACAAGGCTCAATCCTGAAAGTGAGTTGAAATGAATTCAAAAGGTTCTATGTTGTATTGCACTGGACCTCGTAATCATAAGATTACTTATTAAAATACAGTTTTTACGATTTTCAGCAAAACATTGGTTACCAATTTTTCAAGGATAAAGCACAGTTTTATTATCAAGTACGAATGATTTTGGTTATTGTATAATTTGAATATTTATCGGTCTGACAAAAATGCTTTTTCATATTCATATAATCCTGGATTGAACTAATAAAGTTCTAATGAATAATAAAACGTGTTTACCGAAAACAACAGACATCGTGAGTGTGTAGTAGAAGTCATATTTATAATTTAAGCTCTTTTGTAATATTCGATTAAAATTTTAAATGAGAAGAATGAATTGTAAACATGGTAAATAAATGTGGTCAGACGAAGCGCCCCAATAAAAGGCTAACAACATTATTTAGAATATAGCAAAGTGCTCACGACCAATGAAAGTGTACAATTTGGTGTTCCTTAATTGTGAAGAATGAATGTAAATCATGTTCTTAGTAAGGGATTATCCTTTTGCTTAGGCCTATTTACAGTTCAAAACAAAGAATTTCTATAAAATTAGTTATAACTGCCTGGAGCACATTTAGAAGGTTTACTGATTGAAAGTTAAACTTTGAAACAAACAAAAATCATCAAAATAAGTTTGAAGTTTACTTGTGCAGCACAGTTTATACCGTTTGTGTTATTATGTGAATATTTAGAACTTTCAAATTACAAAAAAGAAAAAAAAATAATATCAAGAAGAAAAACAAAAACAAAAACTTTTAAAAATTAAAATTAAATATTACCTAAATCTTTACCTACATGTATTACGCTTACCAATACGCAGGTTACTGTATTCTCAGTAAGTAAGAATAGTCATTTCCGAAATACCGGTACATACTTTTGAATTTCCTATAAAAAGCAATTTCTTTCACTATTTAAAATTTAGTTAATTAAGTAGAATTTAATGCAAAGAGCTGAAATAAAATTGGCTGTAGAATACGATTTAGTTGTCACTCTGATTTTGAATTTATTAAATTGAACTGTAAATAAACAAAAAGATAATTTCTCATTAAAATATTACATAATTTACACTCATACTAACAATTAGGAAACTTCTACAATTTCATTGTAACTTTGTGTCATCTAATGTCTAAAATTTTTTATTGAAATTACCCAAATCAAAAGTAAGTCCTAACATAACTAAGACCAATACATCGATGAAATGCCTAAAAGGGAAGTCATCCATTAATAGTAACCATTGCACTGACAATGAAACAAATTCTGGAATAAAACCAATCAAGACATCATTTGAGCCTTGAGCACTTTACAATATTCTAAGTTTGTAAGAGAATGATAATCCCATTCATCATAATAAGTACTCGCTAACGCTCGTACTTAATCATGAAGAAAGGATTATCATTCTCTTACATATACAAAACGTATAAATGATAAACAACAAAACATGTAAAATCATTTAAAAAAAAATGCTACAAAAGGTATAAACTGATTAGTGATAAAGGGATTATCAATAACTTTGTTTTCACTTAGCAATGATTAATTTTCAGTCGAGAACATTAAACAATTTGCGAGAAATTCAACTAGTTCTATAATAACAATTACCACCTCCGTGCCTCATCAATTCAAGATAGAAATCCTTTCGTTCGGGAAACGACACTTCTGAAATTGTAACAATTCGTTTAAAAAATTCATCAGAAAAAGAGCGTGTAAAGCAACTGAAATGAATTGAATTAGAATACTGCTTCCGAAGGGGACGTTGCTATCGTCTGAAAATTGGATTTTTGTCGAGCCTTCGACATTTATGTCGCGAAAGTGATACATAGTGATCACAGGTTCCGTCGTCGGCGTCGTCAACATTTAGTTTCAGTCTGTGGTTTAAGAGTTTTTTTAGACATTAATAACCTTGTCCAACCTTCATCGAATTTTATGAAATTTAGACAAAAGTGTGATTATGATTAGTATATACAGAATCCAGAGAAAAACTTTTTATTTCATTTTCCAGTATTTTATTGATAGACGGACTGAGTTTTATTTTTACAGTTAACAAGTAGATATAGTATTAATTTAAAGTATGTTACGCACCAATGACTTTGTCAATTCTTCATAGAATTTAATGAAACTTTGACAGAAGCAATTTTAGATTAAGAGAAAATGTCTAAAGCAAACTTTTGAAAATATTTTTTTTTATTTTGTAGTATTTATGGTAGATGGACTTAGTTTTTTACAATTAACATATACAGACAGTCTGGTTATAGATTTTTTTGACATGAAAAATTTGTAAACCTTCATGGATTGTTATAAAACATGAACAGAAGCTCATCTTCAAGACTAAGAAATAACTTTAAAGAAAATTTATGAATGATTTTTAAATTCTGTTTTTTACTGATAAGTGGACTCACTTTTTCAGTCAAAACAACACTTTTACACTGTACTGACTGCAGTAATTGCAGGCGAGACACAGGGTTTCGCGGAACCATTTACGAATGTTATTTTACCTAAATGAAGCAATAGTTGAATAAGGCTGTCATAGATCGGAAAACCTATGCATGAATAAGATAGAAGAAAATGAGCGTCTTCGTACGCTATATATAATCACATAGAAATAATCTTGTGACGTGAATCGACATTTTGGCGTAATTAATGAACACTGCTCTAACCGATGACAAAAGAATAAGGTTTTTTGGTTAATTCCATACATTATTCTACATTGGCTAGAGGTATAGGGGGGGGGGGGGGGTTTGAGATCTCAAAAAACATGTTTAACCCCGCCGCATGTTTGCGCCTGTCCCAAGTCAGGAGCCTCTGGCCTTTGTAAGTCTTGTATGTTTTTTAATTTTAGTTCATTTATATGTTTTGGAGTTTAGTGTGACGTCCATTTTTATTGAACTAGTACACATGTATGTTAAGGAACCAGCTGAAACCCGCCTCCGGGTGCGGGATTTTCTCGCTGTGTTGAAGACCCATTGTTGGCCTTCGGCTGATTTTTGCTGTTTGGTCGAGCTGTTGTCTTTTTGACACATTCCCCATTTCCATTCTCAATTTTATTGGAATGCCGAAAATGATATGAAACATGTTTTTTTCCATTTACATCTATACTATAAGATTTCTGCATGTGAAAGGTTAGTAGTCTTTACTTTTTACCTCTGAACATGAATTTCATAGATACTGACTATTTAAAACGAAAGGGATAAGAAACCAGAAGCTTTCATACCCAGAATGATTGCATTATTTTCGTTTATCCATTTTGAAGTTAAAACAAGATACTAGGAACGTATCTTTAACTGAACATTAATCTAAAATATAATTTGAATGCGCAATTTGTTTGTAACGACGATTTTCATTTTTCATCGTCATATTTTTTTAGGGAGTAAATTCCGTGGTCTACATGACTGTAACTAAGGTAAGTTGCCATTTTGAATACCGGATTTTATAAGGTATTCAATTCCTTCAAAAATAAACGTAAAAAACACATTTTTCTTAACATGAAAACCTTTATTTTGTAAATATATATATAATTCTGAAGCTCTCGCAAAGTATAAATTGACTGGTGTTTACGTTAGTCTATGAGGTCATGATGTTTATGTCAAAGACTAGAACAAGTTTCGCGGAATTTTGTAAGAAAGAGAATTAGAAACAAAAATAATAATGAAGATGGAACGTATTGATTACGTTGCATTTGAATGGAGATTATCGTTTTGTTTATTAAAGCCTAGCCTAAGTTAAACTTGGTTTTACTATCGCAAACAACTCAAGCCTGGCCTACATTAAACTTGGTTTTACTATCGCAAACAAGTCCACAAAGCACTACATATAAAAATAAAGACTGAGCAACACGAAACCCATTTCAAACTGGGGTTGATCTCAGATTCCCCGAAAGAGTAAATAGTTCCTGCTCAACTGATAGTACCCGTCATTTTGCTAATTGTAAGTACAAATTCGGTGATAAGTCTCATTCAGTGATGATCAAATCGAGGAAAAGCGTCCGTAAAATTTTAGATGGATGACTTCAACATATCTCATGGAACCATTGGTTGAAATAAATTCTAGATATCTGTAGAATAAATACGGCTGAAATCAATTTTCGTGTAATTCTTACTTGTCCAAACTGGTCTGGTAATGTTTGTACGTTAGATAACTAAATAGCTTTAATATATAGTTTTTTATTTATCAAACTTATTTGTTATAATGATTTTGGTTGCTAAAGATGTGAACACGTCGAATAAACTATAAATATGTAGTGTTGTATTTCAATTCTGAAAAAAAAAAGATTGTACATGTAAAAGCAACGTTTGGCTACTTAATTTAAGTATTCCATTCCAAACCTTATCATAAGGAAAAGTATCTTGATCTTACAAGTTTAATATTTTATATTACGTGTCTTGGATAGAATCCGTTTCCCATTTTATTGTTCATCTCTCGTTACAATTATATATGTTTGAAACATTATATTCATTTTTCTTTTCGTGAAGAAATTTAGTAAATAGTTGGGATTAAGTAAGATTGTGAAAGTGACATATGGTTTCCATGCGTATGGTCAGTTAAATACTCATGGTCAAATAGTATGGCGTCCGTGGATTTCATATTTTTTAAATAGGATCCCGGAGATTTTCAATCCAGTTGTTTTGTGCTTTACCACCTCTTATGAAAAATTTGTTTTCTGGAGTTTGTATATTCTGCATCAGTAAATTTAAGGTATAATCGTTATTGGACGCGCTGTTGTTGTGGGTTGCTGAACCAATTGTTACCAGTGAACCGGTGGTGGATGTTAAATCACCCGAATATGATGCTGAACTCTATCCAGCATGTTGTTACTAGGGCGATGGCAAGAAATCAACAAAATGATGATTTACAAGAAGACCAGTTTAATTACATGGACCTTTCTGATACTTTCCTTGCCGACATAGGTCCCGGTAGCTCAGAAAAGGCCGTAGTAAGACCACCTAGTACTAACACGAATGTAATTATGCCATGAACAG